TTTTGATTAGCGACTCGCCATGAAAAAYATTAAATGTTTGGATGAGATATGTACCTACATACATATATACGCTAGTAATGAAACGCTGTGGAGTCATAGAAAAGGCGGGAGAAGAAGCAAAATACATTGTTTAAGTGTATATTGATTGTGTGATAAGAGCGTACAGTTTTATGATTTTGAAAATTTGAAAAGAATAAAATTTTGTAATTAATATTTTTTTCTACAATTAAGTTGGGAAAAAAAATAAGTTCCAAAATTTTCGGGATTTCGAAAAATTTTGAAATTGCCTTTTTTTTTACTATAATCAAGTTAAAAAAAATAAGTTCCGAAATTTTCGGGACCCCGAAATGGTCAGATAATATCCCAAAAATGAATATTTGGAGAATGCTCTTAGATTGCATTCCGTATTTGTATTTAACTGAATGATGATATATTTAAAAAATAGAAATACCGAAATTTTTGGAAACTCGAAAATGAGTAAATAAAATCCCGAAATTACATTTTCGGGAAATAGCCTGATATACCTGAATGATGAGCCTGTAAATATATGTTATATTTAAGTATGATAAAGGAAATCCCAAAATTTTCGGGATCCCGAAAATKAGCATATAAAATCGCGAAAGTGCTTTTTACGGAAGTGTGAGACCTGCATTTGTATTTGTTTAAATTATGGCCTAGTAAATTTGTGTTACATATCCATTTACATATGTATGTACATACATACAAATGAACATGCATGATTCCCTCACATTTGAATCACAGGCACAAATATTTATTYAAGCAAAAAATATATAGCCCAACTGCAGTGATCGTAATGTTGTCACACATTTTATGCGATCGTCAAATTTGTTGTTGCTGCCACTGCTGCCTCTGCTGATATGCTAATATTGCCAATGTTATGGCTAATGTAAATGATGAATGAATTAACACGGATTGCGTACATTCGCTGCTGCCTGATGACGGCCTGGTCCGCCTGCCTATGGGCTGCTGCRCATGCGTGCACGCGCTCTGKGCTGTTGACACAACAAACACAAATAAACTAATTTCTGAATGCAACGCCAACAAAGAAAATAACGAAATACTACACTACAGAAGCGCTAACAACAACAACTAAGCTAATAACAACAACACGATGCTTTGCATAGAAATGTTAAGCTTGCATCATTTGGCATTTTGATTAATAGAAAATACATGAAATTACTGCCATTAATATCTAGACTTGTTGTCGCTGTTGTTGCTGTTGCTAAACTTTAGCAATAGCTATTGGTTGGCGCATTGGGCTTTTGTTTAGCTGCACACACAGCGACCACACATATTTTGTTGCCCAAGCAGTGTGATAAACACACCCACACAAATGCATTGATGAGCAAAACAAATAAACACTCAAGTGCATGTGTGTGTGTGTTAACCTTAAAATGCATGCTAATAGCTAATAGCAAAAACAACAAGTTGTTGGCAACTCACCATACTAGCTGTTGCAAATGCCTCTAACAAAAACAACAACAGCAACAACARCAACATTGATTATCAACAAAGTGGGTGCAAATTAAGTCGTTACCATGCATTCCGCGCACCACAGGCGACCCAGACGCCGTTTTTGTAACCGAAATCGATTTGTGTTGCTCTTATTTGTTGTTGTTGTTGTTGGTAGCGATTTCCTCATTTCATTCGCGCACAAGTACTTTGATTTGTATTGATTGCTGCATTTAATGGCGGGGCACAGATACACAAATAGCCTGCTAATATTATGCCTTTACAGGTGGCAGCCATATAAATGTGACCGCATTGGTTGGTTGTTGTAAAAAATGCAATAACCAGAACGGAAATGAAAAAAAAAAATTAAATTTTAACTGACAAGCGAATCGGCGAATGAAGTAGAAACAATTCGATTTCAAGATTTTTCGATCGTCTTTGAAATCTTGTATGAATCTGTTTCATAAGCTTTATCGAAAAATGTTATACACTATGGATACTCATAGCAAGAAATCAAAGTTGGATTTGTAGGTGCCACTTACACTCTCTGATTCAAACGCATTTTTCAGATTTGAAACCTTGCAATGCCTGTCCTACAAGCTTGATCGATAAATGTCACACACCTCCAAAATAAKAATGGAACATAGATTTTATCCATATTTAATTGTTTGTACCTTCTTGCTATAATTGATAATAACGTTTTTCAATATTCCAAATTYTGAAATTCAAACTTCGAAAACAAATGTTTCGGGTTTGAGTGCTAACTTCGAAAAATAGAAACTTCGATAAATGGAAAATTACTACTTTTATGTTTTATTTATTACTCGATCTCTCGAAAAAAGTCGAGTATCTTACAGCGGTATGATGCAATAAAGTTTTGTTATGTATTTTAAATAATTCGAAATTCTATTTTCGGCAAGTTTTTAGTTTGAATTAAAATCCACGAGCCTGGTATGTAGCCCTACTCTCTGTGTAAAATTTGCATTATAATTGTTTTTATTTTATATGCTGTCTCTTATACATATCTAGATGTGTATAAGAGTTTGCATTATAATTGTTTTTATTTTATATGTTTCAAAGCTGTTCTACTATCCCAACTTCTTTTTCGTTGAGCTTAATTATTATTTATTGATCATTGCTGATATTTATAATGATTATAAATTAATCTCTTGACATTCCACTGGCTTTCTGTGCAATCTGTTCGAAAAATTGTTGTAGCGTTCTCGCAATCGCGTCTTTAGATTAATCATTTCTACGTCTAATTTTACGTTCCTTAACTACTTCGTGCTACGTTCGCTGATTTCGTTGGCCTATCGATAAAACAATAAATATAGAACAAATATAACGGATCAATTTTTAATAGATAATTTTAAGTTGGTTATCATTTAAGTCTACGCGCTTATATGAAGCCTTAATCAGTTTGAAATTGTGGAAGTGCGAACAATTTTTACGGAAATTAAGAAATTTTCTCGACGGAATTGATTTATACATTTGGTTATCTTCATCAATAAACTGTATATTCATTGGCAAATTTGATTCAAGGCCGTCGTGTGATTGAGAAATAAAAACATTACAGTTACAGAACTGAAACGCTCGACCTTCACAAGTGACATCGCTTCGCTTTATGGGCTCTTGAGAAGTTCCAAGAAGATCCGATGTTTTCAATAAGGTGGCGCCACTTCCCCACATTGCATCATTCAATGGATTTATTGAGAGAACACTTCCGTGAGCAGAGAATTTCACGTTCTGGGCCGTTCGATTGGCCACCAAGATCGTGTGATATCACACCGTTAGACTTTTTCCTGTAATTATATCTAAATTCTAAAGTCTA